ATATAATTCCTAGATGTATGAAAGAACCTAGTTGTATTGTTGCATATTAGTTACTTGTGAATATGTCTCCTAAAAGATGAGGTGGTGAAAGATTGTATAAAACTACCTTAAATGAAATTTTATTGTAATATACAAATTGTTAAATAATCAGTATCGTTATCTTGAAAAATTGAAAATCTTGGTTCTTAGGCTTAAAATCTGACACAGATTTAAATTTCCTAGCCTTTCATTCTTGTATTTTTAATAGAAAGTGATTTCTGACTACTTTTTGGTTTGTTTTAAAAAAGTTTGTTACGTTTCTTAGGTGTTTTTTTTTCTGTTTATTAATGTTGTCTTTAAAATTGGTCAGATTGTCTCATTGCTTGGATTCATGAGTTGGAAGACAAAAATTAAAGCAAGCAGAATTAAACACGCAGCGGAATTCTTTATAACTGTAGTTCTCTTGTCATTTTTTAGCTGTTGATTGGAGGTAGAGTGGTTATTATGTTATCTCTGATTTTCGTTTCAATAATTTACACAAACACACACACATTTTTCACTCTTAAGTTTCATCATAAAAGTGAATAGTTTTTGGTTTCTATTATAAACATTTTACACACACATGTACTGAAAGATGAGTTATTCACTCTTAAATCCTATTTAACCTTAATTATTTCAGTTATAATGTAATATGAAATGCTCCTCCAATAAAAGTGTCAGTTCTTCAGTCAATCTTGTGCTCTGTGTACTTGTTCTACAAAGTTAATGTGTTCTGAGATGGCTGTATAAGTATCTTTGCAACACAAACTTAAATATGTTTGTTTTTCATCATTAGTACAGAAGGTACAAAGTAGAAACATGACTGTAATATCTGCCTTTTACTTTTGACAATCTTGACGTTTGTAGTAAGATTGCTTATTAAGTTATAATGTTCAGTTACTGTACCATATATGATTGGAAAAGTTGACTTTTGTTATCAAAGTTTTTGTGAAAAAGGTAAAAGGCCCTTAAGTAGTAAAGAGGAGGATTTTAAAGTTTGTTCACAACAAAACTACAGTGCAATCATTAGGTAGTAATAATAGGGGATTTTTAATGTTTGTTCCCCATAAAATCAATGTGCAGCCACTGGGTATTAAAAAGGAGGATTTTAAAGTTTGTTCACAACAAAACTACAGTGCAATCATTAGGTAGTAAAATAGAGGATTTTTAATGTTTGTTCCCCATAAAATCAATGTGCAGCTACAGGGTATTAAAAGGAGGATTTTAAAGTTTGTTCACAACAAAATTACAGTGCAATCATTAGGTAGTAATAATAGGGGATTTTTAATGTTTGTTCCCCATAAAATCAATGTGCAGCCACTGGGTATTAAAAAGGAGGATTTTAAAGTTTGTTCACAACAAAACTACAGTGCAATCATTAGGTAGTAAAATAGGGGATTTATAATGTTTATTCCCCATAAAATAAATGTGCAGCCACATTGTTCGCTGTAAAACTGCAATAAATTAGAAACATAAATTGTAAATAAACAAAAAACTTGCTTAGAAAAACTTACAATCTGAAAAGCTAAGATATTAGAAACTACAAGTGTGTGGTAGAAGCCAAGACACCATAACTGTTTACTCTGTAGGCTTGTGTATGTTTTTGATTTATTGGTCAAATAGCTAATTATGTTTTTGTTAAGTCCAGTTCAATACTGATTTTGTTACTTGTACTTTTACTGGTTACAATGTAACATTTAGTCCCATTACTGGCAAAGTGATTACTTTTAAGCTAAGAGCAGAGTAAATTGAGTCATGAGTACATGTTTGACATTTATGTAAAAACTCTTTAGGAAAAGTTATTCCAGTAGTAACATTTGATGCTTTGTTAATAGTTTATAATACTTTTTTTTATATAAAACAATACAAATTTATTGCCTAACCATTAACATTGCACAATACAGAACCTTCTGAAACCTTGCAAATTTTGATTTTTGTTACAGACTTGAGTTCAGCGAACCATTTTCTTTGTTGGCAAATCATTTGACAATATTAGAAGCAGATGTGCAACAGTGTAAATTTTGGTTATTATTGGTTTAATAAAACAGTTGATGATATTAGCAAGTTTTTAAAGGATTTAGTCTGATAGTGAATTTGGAGAGATGTAAGATATAGCTATCCACAAAGGGACCAGCTCCAGATAAATTGTATTTACATGTATATTCTCTCGAGAAGGATTTTCACATTGTGCATTTTTACTAAATTCTCTTGAAATGAAAAAAAAAAACATTCACTATTTTCTTAGGTTGTTTTTTAATAAGGCTATTATTTTAATATGTATTATCACAATTTTAGGCTGTTGCTAACCGTCATTATAAAGATATGTATTATCACAGTTTCAGGTTGTTGCTAACCATCATTGTAAAGATATGTATTATCACAGCTTTAGGCTGTTGCTAACCATTGTTATAAAGGTATGTATTATCACAGTTTCAGGCTGTTGCTAACCGTCATTATAAAGATGTGTATTATCACAGTTTCAGGTTGTTGCTGTCTTTATAAAGATATGTATTATCACAGTTTCAGGCTGTTGCTAACCATCATTATAAAGGTATGTGTTATCACAGTTTCAGGATGTTGCTAACCATCATTATAAAGATATGTATTATCACAGTTTCGGGTTGTTGCTAACCGTCATTATAAAGATATGTATTATCACAGTTTCGGGTTGTTGCTAACCATCATTATAAAGATATGTATTATCACAGTTTCGGTTGTTGCTAACCGTCATTATAAAGATATGTATTATCACAGTTTCAGGTTGTTGCTAACCATCATTATAAAGATATGTATTGTCACACTTTCAGGATGTTGCTGACTGTCGTTATAAAGATATTTATTATCACAGTTTCAAGTTGTTGCTAATCGTCATTATAAAGATATGTATTATCACAGTCAGGTTGTTGCTAACCGTCGTTATAAAGATGTGTATTATCACAGTTTCAGGCTATTGCTAACCGTCGTTATAAAGATGTGTATTATCGCAGTTTCAGGCTATTGCTAATCGTCGTTATAAAGATGTGTATTATCAGTTTCAGGCTGTTGCTAACCATTGTTATAAAGGTATGTATTATCACAGTTTCAGGATGTTGCTGACCGTCATTATAAAGGTATTTATTATCACAGTTTTGGTTGTTGCTAACCGTCGTTATAAAGGTATTTATTATCACAGTTTGAGGCTGTTGCTAACCATCATTATAAAGGTATTTATTATCACAGTTTCAGGCTGTTGCTAACCATCATTATAAAGGTATTTATTATCACAGTTTCAGGCTGTTGCTAACCGTCATTATAAAGATATGTATTATCAGTTTCAGGTTGTTGCTAACCGTCATTATAAAGGTATTTATTATCACAGTTTCAGGTTGTTGCTAACCGTCATTATAAAGGTATTTATTATCACAGTTTCAGCTATTTCTAACCGTTGTTATAAAGATATGTATTATCACAGTTTCGGCTGTTGCTAACCGTTATTATAAAATTATGTATTATCACAGTTTCAGGCTGTTGCTAACCATTATTATAAAGATATGTATTATCACAGTTTCAGGCTATTGCTAACCAGCGTTATAAAGATATGTATTATCACAGTTTTGGGCCATTGCTAACCGTTGTTATAAAGATATGTATTATCACAGTTTCGGCTGTTGCTAACCGTTATTATAAAGGTATTGTTACGTCTCTGTTCGTTAGTTAATTTTCCGTAAATTCGTTCCGACGAAACTTTAGTGAAACAAGTCCTTTCTTAAATAAAACTGTTTTATTCTTTCCGAATACAACTTTACGATACACTTAATTTCAATAGTCTCTCTATTACAACGCTATAACTCACGTCTCACGTGGCCAACAATATTTTATTCACATACATTCAATTACTCATTACCTCCCCGTCGCTTCTAGCCGTCTTATACATAGAAGACTACACTATATCTAGAAAGATCACGAGATTTAAGGAAAAGACGTGGAGGTTCGAGAATGACGTGGCGTGATACTAGTCACGTGACCTCGATGTCATAACACTGCCCCTTCCTTAGTATTGTTCGTCTCGAACAATAGCCACTTACATTAAACCAGTAACAATTAACAATAACTTAATTAAATGTACAGAACTACAAACACAAAATTACAATTCAACAAAGTCTCTTAATTTTATGGGACGTATCTTCTTCAATACTGGTCTCCGTCTCGTTGGCCTCTGCTTCATGTGGGGTTCATCTGCTTCATCAGGAAATGTCCTATTGTCGTTAACAGTCACATTAGTGGTAGTAACTTCATCAAGAGCTTCACCGTTTCCCTTCTCAAAACTGAGTAGAGTTTCTTCTTCTTCGACAGTGGCTTTTTCAGGTGACACTTCTTCAGCAACGTTATTTGTTCCGTTGTTCACTTTA